TAAGATGGTAAATCATCAACCAATTATGTCTAATATTAATGTAAACCACCTTTTCCTGTATTATAGTTACAAAAGTTGTTAACTGAAATACCTCATTTTTAATTTCAAAGAACATTCCAATTTACGCTATATTGAAATTATAATAGTAAAATAAAAAGCTAACCTGAAAAGTACGTGGAATTACATCTATTTGCCAAGTTTTTTTGAAATCGGTTACCGTAAAGTGCGCAAACCCGGATTCATCCCCTAGTTCGCCACTATACGGAACTTGACATAAGAGATAATCAAAATCGGTTCTCACTACTCAAAATACATTGAGAGGGAAAAACGCCTTGAATTAAAGAATAGCAAAATCAACCATTAAAGTAATTGCTCCTTATAATAAAATTTAGGCGCTATTTATAAAAATGAATCTTCATGCGTGAACAGTCACTCTTAGAGGTGGATGATTGTCTTCAAAATTAAATGGGATCACTATGGAGGTACGCTCTTTCCAACAAAAAAAGAATTATGAAAATCGGTCAACTCACAAATACCGGAGTTATCGCGTAACATACATACAAAAAAAAACATGCAGTCGAATTGAGAACCTCCTCCTTTTTTTGAAGTCGTTTAATTAAAGCATATCGTATTTCAATAACGATCAGATGCTAAAAAAAATTTTTTAATTTAAGGCTGGCTTCCCAAGGCCTGTGATGTCACGGGCCGCGTCACGCAAGCTCACGTCGTCTTCTTCTTCTTTTTGTTAAATAAGTTGTACCCACGGTATAAAACAAAAGTGTTTGCAGAAGTAGGTGTGCGTTCTTCACATGACATTTTCGTATGGCAGTTCAAACCAAACTAGAACTGTCGACACACACTCCAATACGAGCAGAGGACTGTGGCGTGAGCTTGCCCGTAGAATCGGCGCGGTGCGGCACAGGTGGTTTCTCACAACACTTGATATAGCACCATAAGAAACTGGATATTAAATATTTGTTACAAATAAAATGACCATGATTCACGGTAGCTCTACAGTTAGTTAAGACTTGATACTATCTCAGATTGAATTCAAATTTTTCCCGAACTGAATCTGTTTTACTGCGCGATTAGAGCGTCAGGGACACTGGGACACATTTCAGAATTTATTTTTTTTACAAACGACATTAAAGCCATTTGAAAAATGTACGTGTTCTATTTACTTCAGTTGATATAAAAAAAAAATTAGTACATGTGAAGTACCTATTGAATACAGCGGTTTTCTTGTAAAATTTCTAGGTAAGTTTGAGTTCTTTTTTCTATTCCATTTTTTCCAAAGTGATTGATTCCACACTTTCACTGTTATATGGAATCTACCAAATCCATTTGAGGTTGTACCCCCTTTTATGGGGTTGCTGGATTATATTGAACGCAGAACGTGTATTCTAGCTAAATTAAATAGGTACACGAAATAGTCCCTATTTCATTTAGCCAGAATACACGGCTAACCTATAAAGTTTGCAATCATATACGTTCTTATGAGACAATTGTTAATAAAGCGATACGCAAAGCTATGGCTACCGTTTAATGATCAGAACATGTCGGACGCTAAAGATCGCAGACCATAAACACGGTTAATGCGTCATGCAAGTTCAACCATATTCACGTTTGTAAATATTAAGAAAATGGAATATCATTTGTACCTCTAAATCAGTTACATGGATAAAATGTATGACAAAGTGTTAGAGTAATGATTAACGAACTTGAATCGTAATTAAATAATAGATAAACTAGACGACTGAATATTCTATTGCGAAATTTGATATAATTCGACAAGTTTATTTAAATTATATCAATAGAGTTGTGTAAAAGAGTTTTGTCCAGGGATGTTCTGTCACTATACTTATTTTTGCAGTAAAGTAAGCATTACTGCATTCTGCTTTTGAAGGGTATCTGCTGTTGAAACTACAGGAACATGGAACTTAATAACTTTATATCTCAGAGTGACACAGACTTGTCTCTTATCACCAAGCTCTCAGCTTATTTGCCCCGATAATTGATATTATCATTTTTATTATTTTTTGTTAGTAATTAAGATTACGTTTGTTGATTTATGTGGGTTCATTAAAAAATAATGTGGCAAACAAAATAAAATGCCCCTTAACATCGTTGATAAATTTCTCGGAAATGTATGTTTTTTTTCTTTTGTATGATTTTTTCAAGTGACGGGACGAACATGTCGTGGGTCTGATGGTAAGCGACTTGTCTGTCTATAACAGTTGCCTGTAATTTCACCAACACCCTTACCCATCAAAACCGGAACGTACCAATGCCACATTACCTCTTCGCGGCAGAAATAGGTAAGGTGGCTGTATTATCCTGGACGAACTCTTTCACAAGGAACTCTTGTGAATTGATTCAGAACTAAAACGAGTGCCTTTTTAATATGGCTTAAGAAATTATAATTGACCGATTTAAAGTACAGGAGTAAAAAGAAGCACTTCTGACATGTAAACACCATGTGACTTTGGGCATGTTCGCAATCGCGCGTGTGCGATAAGTACTAAATTTATACGTAAATTAACTTAATTAAAATTTAAATTAAGAAACCAATTCAATTGTAATGACTAAAAATAATATTTATTGTGATAAACTTTATCTATAAGAAGATTTAACGTGTCTAAAATGTATTATTCATAATTGAAGACAAAAACGACTTGTCATTTATTCCATTCCCTTTATACATATGTTATAGTTTTGGCTTAGGTCATATTGCTTAAAAATGTTACTTAAATCTATTGATATTTATATAGATTTTTTTTGTCTTTTACAATATTAAGTGACGGGACGAACAATTCATGTGTCTGGTAGTAAGCTACACGCGTATCCATAACAGTCGCAGTACCCCTCAGAGTTTTAAATCCCAAAGATCCGGGGAGCACTGCAACTGCGCCCGTCACCCTGAGACATAAGTTAACAAGTCCAATGTGCCTGTAATTTAACCAGAACTTCAAAACCTAAACACAGTAATGTCGACATTACCGCTTGGCGGCAGATATAAGTAAGGTAGTAAGTAAGGTACAGTACTATCCTGGATGAACTCTTTCACAAGGAGCTCTACTGCTACTAAATCTATTAATAAAACAAATATATCTATATACACACACGAAACACACTATTTTTAATAGAAATAAATTTGTTATAAACCCAGTGGCGCCACCAGTGGCGCTACACCGCAAAGCATGCCGTTTCCTGATTGGATAAACCAACCACATGAGTGGTATTTAATTTTGTTCTGTAGAAAGGGGCTTACTCGTATTATTTTAATTGATTACTGACTCCGGTTACTGATCAGTGAGTAAGTTAAGTAATTCCCATTTCTCTTTTATTGTCATTATATATCAATTTCTCTAGAAATATATAATAAACTGTTGCTTTACCTTACATGGTATGTACCTATTCTAAGGTGAATAGGTACATACCACCGAGGCCAATTTCATTCTTAGTTTTTAAGTATTAATTTAGGATAAGCTCTACTAACATTAAAATGGACCTTAAATGTTGTCTAAAATCCTATTATTATTATTTCTACACCGAGGGTACGAAGAATATAGTCCACCCGACTCATCATGACAAAATCTACTTATGTACTTATTATAATCAGGTAATATACTTCATCTAGTTGTTATTTTATCTCTTTGTTGCTGGTGGTGTGAAAAACAAATATTTACGCCGTGGGCGCGTGCTGTTTAGATAACTACAATAACCAATGAACAATACTTCTACGATAAACTACATAGGCGTATAAAATTTAAAAGTACCTCTAACCTATTCAAGTGTATTACAAAAAAAATAAAAACGAATCTCTACTGTCACGTTCTAAAGAGTTTTGGAAAAAAATCGAATATTTAGGTTGTCATATTTTTTTACGTACATAATTGGAAATAATTTTTCGTATCTAAAATCGCATATATATTTTTACTATTTTTGTTTTACCAAAAAAAAACAACTTTTCGGAACACTTTACGGTCAACTCTTTATAGTCATCAACCAGTTATGTCTAACGTTAATATAAATCACCCTATTCTGAACTGAGTATTACGGCGTCTCGGTTTTGAAGAGTTAGGGTGCTGATGAAATTTCCGGCACATGGGACTTTTTAACTTATGTTTCAGGATGACTGGCGCAGTGGCGGTGCCCCACAGATCTTTGCAATTTAAAGCTCAAAACTGCACTGCAACTGTAATAGACAGGCGTGTCGCTTACTACCAGGTGCACTTGCAGAAATAATGAACTTAAAAATATTACCGTTCGCGTCTTGCACCATGTAATCCATTTTGGCCACTGTCTTTAAAATATAGTTTCTTTTTTGATATTTGACTGTACCCATCAATAGGAAATAACCAACATAAATGTGTTAGCTGGTAAAACTGGGTTTTATTGCAACTGTCCTCAACATATCGAGTTTTTATGATGGGCTATAGCAGAATAACAACGAGGACTTTGTAATTAGCACAGTCCTCAGATTTTTTTCAGAGACCCTTTGGCATGCTTATTTTTAATTTTAACTTTAATTTTCGCATGCCAAATAAAGCCTATTTTATTTTATTTTTTATTTTTAGGTTTTTGCGATTGCCATAAATTGGAAGTGAAACTATATTTCCGGATGTAAATCCGGAAATATAGTTTCACCGTATATGTTTGTTTTTTCTTTTCAAAACATTTCTCATGGTTATGGCTGACCGTCTTCAATAATTAATAAAACATTATAATTTATATTGTTCGTCTTTGCACATATTACAACACTGTAAATTGTTTTAAATATATTAATTTTATTTAGGTTGAATACAGAAATTGTTTTGACATTTCCTCATTCCATTGCGAGTGCTCTTGTACGGCCAGTATCTTTACAACAGGAATGGAGATAAATGTTATATAATGGAGACATGTACCACTTGTGGAACCAAGAGTGGAACAGTCCGAAAGGCTTTTTTCATATTGTCCGATAATTTAAAATCTATAATGAATAGTTCTCTACTCACAACTCTAGGGCAAGGATGATTGTACAGACGATCATACAAATAATGCTTCGATTCATGGTTCTTCAGCACCTTTGGTCGGATCTTTTTACACTTATTCTTTTCCTTCACAACATTTAACTCATTAACGAAGTGGTCAGGTGAACACGTTATTTCACGTCCAGACTCAATGATATCCAATTGATTATTAACGATCGGGTTCGAATTTTGAACAACACCAGGTGCCATTGTTCACGGACAATAATGGTAATGTTATGATATTGATTACTTTATTTTTAATAAATACGTGGATGAGGCACACGCGACTGCCACCGTACTGTCGCTCTGAGGTGTCACGATGTATTTATATAAGAAGTTTATCGTATGTGAGTTTGCTCTGCATGTTTGCAAATAAAATACTCAAGTTAATGAGTTAAGCTTATGAGTGTAACTAGCACGGGGTTGATTAGCCTCCCGAGACCCAAGTGAAATTACAGACACATGAGACTTGTCAATTGTCAACTTATGTCTCAGGATAACGGACGCATTGGCAGTGTAACTCAGATATTCACAATTTAAAGCTCTGAATGGCACGGCAACTACCATGTACAGGCGTGTCGCTCAACACCAGGCGAACGACATGTTCGCCCCGTCACTTGGTGTCATGAAATAAAAAACTAAAATGGAAAAAGCGTATATATTTCTTTATCATTTATTTATTTAAATTGAGCAACTATGGCCCATATAATATATACTTTTAAAGGCTAACATACATAC